GCAAGTACCTTCTTGTTTCCTTACTTTTTTCCTCATTCAATCCTACTATTTTCCCATTTTTAATGTTTTTATTTACTTGTTTCCATTCTTTTTTCTTAAATCAAGAAATTACATTCTGTTGTGATTCTGTGGTTAGGTTAATTATATTCATGCTAATCACATGCGCATAAATTAAAATGGTGTCAAACCACAAACCCACGCAGTGTCTGCAGCTGGATTTTGACTTCCATTTTGTTCTCTGTCCTCACTTCTTTTTGAAACTACCTTTGTGATCCTTGACCCAAGCCCAGAGGAGTGATGTAAAAGGCAACTTGAGCGGTTCTCTGGATTAAAAGATTATCCGGTGCATAGAAGAAGGTGAAAGAAGAAGAAGAAAAAGTCTGAAGAATTTTGTAGAAATTTGAATTTGGGCCTGTTTTTCAGAAATGCTCACACTACATTACAGTTCACTTTAAAGGTACCAGGAGAATCACTCAGTGAAGGAAAGCTCATCTAAGCCATTTATAAGGCTGTACAACGTAAGATAAAAGAGTTATAAGTGTTTGAAAATCATAAAAACAGACGCCATCTTGAAAAATCAACATCAATCCTACATATAGGCTAACGCCTATATAATAATGCACATTTGTGTGTAATGTCTGCTCACTTCAATTAGTCTAGCTCCTCCATCAGTCATAGGAAGAGGACAAGAGTAGAGACCAGATGAAGGAGAGAACAAGAATAACTGCCTCAACTGGTAGAGTCACCTACAAATTAACATTAATAACAGTGCCTCAGTACTTCAATCATAATACCATATGGCTGGTAATTGTAGAGGGGTTCTAAGTGTTTAGTGATTGGTGGGTTTTAATTTGAGCATACCGCCATACACATAATGGTCCAAAATGGCTGGCTTTATTTGGCCAATGGCTTTCACAACCTGAACTTGAAAAAGATTACTAGCTATTTAGTATGCCTTTATCAACCTCCATTCTGTGCTTTCTATCATACCCAATGGCAACAAGACCCATGTCCAGCAATGAGTGGACGCGGATTAGTATACTGAGCAATTATCTCCGTATACTACTGGTTGACTTTATACAGGGCAGGAATGGACATTTCCATTTACTAGGCTATATCTTTCTTCAGAATAAGTCTCATCAATTTGCGCACTTCAGTAGCTGTTCTCCATAATTATACCTGTGTTCCTGCTAAATATGACAGCACTTGGAGTAACTTTGTGTGGAACATTTGCAGATTAAAGATGAGGCAGTCAGTGCCGCCATTTTTGTCATTCCTTTATGTATGTGTGATAATTTTTTTACTTTTTTGAATGGTTATATCTAAATTTCAAACAATTTTTGACAAATTGCGCACTTATTTTGTGAAAGTACAACATTTTTACTGCCCAATCATGCAAAAAAGATAAAGAAATTCAAAACTTTGTTCGGTACTTTAGTCTTCTAAAGGTGAAATAATTTTAGTCATCTCAGTGATAACGGGTGCAGCAACAAGAGTGAACAAGTGCTTTTCTCTTCTCACGGGAATAATAAAGTAAAACTAAGAGTGCTTAACAGCTATACAAGCAAATCATGTCTCTAGATCCTTTTAAAGTAATAACAAGAAGGCCTTTTGTTAGTGGATGAGTCTTCTTGCGCCACGCCTGCCACTTTAACAATAGAATATGAAAAAACTACCATAACCAATTGCATTAAGTAGCATTCAAGAAGCTCCAAGTATCTAGTGAAGTCCCATCCATGAACCAGAAAGACGTTAGCAGGCTTTGTAGTGAAGCTTCCTATCAATCCACCATTGCTGAGCTGCCGTTGCTATGGTAATTCCAATGAATATCATTAAATTAATGCGACCGGAAGTCCCATTGCATAAGCTGGACATGCGGCCTTCTATCGGGTCCCCTTGCCAGCAACCCTTCAACAATGGTACATCCTCCTTACACATTCATGTATACATTCCTTGGAAAGGTAAAATGATGACATAAAATTACAGTTACCTCGTTTGGTAGTTTACAGGAGACTGAGGTCACTACTGAGTCCCGCCGGCACTGAGGCTGGTGGGAGTCCTCCATGAAAGGATTGCAGAGGTTTGGTTGAGCCTGGCTAAAGCTTCCATGTCTGGCTGGATAAAACGTATCACTCTTGGAGCTACTATTCCTTACGACAGGAGGAAGAAAGGAGCAGAAAAGAGTAGGAAAAAACCTAGTCTCGTCCTCCAAAAAAGCTGAAGTTAAATTGAGTAAACAAAGAGTTAATTTTATGATGTTATGTAGGCGTGGTGTAAAGTGCAGTAATTAAAAATGGCGGATTTTCTGTCCAGCAAATACTACTCAGAATCTAAAGTTTTAAAGCTAAAACTCATCCTAGAAATTTTGTGGTACGTATCATAGTTTATAAAATGTTGTGACATGTTTATACATTGTAGAAGAAGACCTAGTGGTATAGAAATTACTGAAGAAGCTAATTGTATTAATTGTAGTGGAATTCTTTTACTGGAAGTGAGTAAGATTCCTGCAAATGTACAGGCTAAAGGTGAGATTAGTGTTTCTTTTTTTAGATTTTTTGAAGTGTGTCAAGTTACACTGTAAAAACTAAATGTTAAAATAACACAATGTTGGTTAATTTCACCATAAATTTAGTTGGTAATTTTCACTATACTTTAGTAAATTTAACTTTTATATTGTTAAAGTAAGAATTATGAGTTAATTTAACATATGTATAGGTATTTTAAACTAATAACAATTAATTTAACTACAAACTGTTAATCTCATAACCACTATGTACTGTTAATTTAACTCTAATAGAGTTCATATGATGTAAAATGGCGGTTGAAGATAGAGAGTGTCCCTTTGAAAGAAAGTACGTCGTACATGAAGTGGAGCTGGATGTTGTATGCTTGAAGCTGGAACAATGTGAAGATCAGAAGTAGGTATGAACGTGTATGAAAGGAAATGTGCACTATATGATGTTATTTGGCATTTTGACATAATGAAATATATGTGATGAGATTGTAAATCAAATGATAGGATTCTTTCTATTTTTGAAATAATAGGCTCTGTATGAACAGCTGTAATTAGGTAGCAGTTTTCGATGGAGTATTTTATGCCATTAATTGTGACCCATTTCAGGCTATTGACAGTAGTAAGACTGAAAGGTATATTAATCTCTGATATTAATGATTGAATGCATATGCTCTCTTCAGATATTGTCGTCACCATAAGGAGTGGTCCACGTGTCATTTCAGGGGTAAACATGCATCCTGTTTGTAGATGATATGCTAGCCATTTTTGGTGTCTTTTTGCAAGTGAGTATGTAATGTTTTTGAAATTCCCTGATCGAGAAATAGTTTTGAAGTAGCTTAATTTTGCCTCATACCGCATTGTCCATGAGCGTATCAAAGGACCTTGCTCAGTAATCTGTTTTGGGTAGTGGATTAAGTAATGTAGTTTAGGAATAAAACTTTCGTCTGGGTAGAGAGCAATGAACATTGAGTGATGCTCTTCAATAAGGACACGCAGGTAAGATATAACGTCATCTTTTAAAGAAGGAGATAAAACAATTTGAAGCACTTTTAGTAGTTTTAGGAAACAATGATAATGCTCATCATCGTCTGGAATCTTGTCTCCTATAATGAAAGGCAAAACTCTTGCTAGCAATAACATTTCTGAAGCTGAATAACGAAGTTTTAACTTCTCGAGAAAGCAACGGTGTGATAGTTCATTGGGCTTATTTGGAAGCTCTGTGTAACCATAATCAAAAGATGCCACACGATCATTATACTGGGCTAAAGTGAAATATTTTTTATCAAAAATATGTTGTAGAAGCAACCTTAATTCATATGGTAATACACCTTCAAGTAAGTCATGCATGGCATCGTGGCATAACCCTCCAATTACTGAGAAGCCATTAACATCATTTAAAATACTGCGCTCATTAATACCATATTCTTTAGATTTTTCTTGTGTATTTGATGAATCGTTCATCACTTCTGAGCACATTACCTCGTGTTGCTCTGGTGTCCGAAGCACAAAGTTTTCTGCCAAAAATATTTGGCATGCCTCTTCTTTTGTTGCCATACATGAACGACATATCCGCCTTGCAAATGACATTGACTGCTTGAAACCGCCTACTGCATGACTAGCTAGGTTGTCAGCTAAGAATGCAACTAACATCCCCTTGTAAATTTGGCCTTGGACTTCAATTCCAGATGTAGAGAGCTGATTAAGCTCATGGACAAAGGGCTCGAGCACAGCATTTATACCATGCCTTTGTACTATAGTATGGTTCACTATAGTTGACAAAAAAATAGCTTTGAATGTAGACCTGTATTTAGGGTGCAAATTGCCAAGGGTATAAAAGATACACCCTAGCTTGTGCTTTTTGACACTTGTACCTAGTGGATTGCATAATTCAATCTCATCGTAGTAAGCAATAATTTGCAAACAATTTGTCGGATTTTCTTTGAAAACAGTGTGGTTTTGAAAAAAGCTCCCATCACTAAAATCAAAGTAAGAGCCAGAAGTATTTTGTACTTCAAAACTCAATTTGGACAAAAACAACTGATCACGCAAAAACATTAAAAGGGTTTCAATTAGTGAAACATAGTGCATTGTGTCCTTCTGAAGAACCTTACGTCTGCGTTGTCCAAACATTTTGTTAATGTAGTACGGTCTTCCGATCTGTTTTGGTTTTGGTTCCTACAGTTTGGAGAAAGAATAAGAATGATTAATGTACATGCATAATATGTTTAGCCATAATAAGCCTTGTATAATTAGAAAATTTAACTTCAAATTACTTGTTGACATAACACAGATTATTATATATAGGCACTTACCAAAACATTAAACTCTTTGTTAATGTATTTTTCTTGTAGAAATGTTGTGTCTAAACCAAGAAACGGATCTTCTATTTCTTCAAAAATATCAGTCACATCAGCATCACTCCCAGTCTCTGCTAGTCGTTGTCGTATGCTTGCATGGAGGCGTGTCATTGTATGGCTAAACAATGTTCGACATCCACATATGACATCATTTACTGAAGACTGGGACAACCTCTTGACTTCACGGAGCCTCATTATAAACAGAGCTGACTCTCGTTTGGTTTGTTGTGAATCAACTTCAAGAAGGTGATTTATGTCTGCATCTAGCATTGACTCATCCAATACAGTATGTGCATCATAATCCAGTGTATCTTCATTGCCTCTTGTGCAAATATCACTATCATCTTCCTGAGGAACTTCGTCACTCTTAAGATGGGCACGATATACATGTGACTTCAGTCCAGCAAAGGTTGCAAATGGGCTGTTATGAGAACAGTCTTCGAAACAGCATGAGACACTGAAGGCCTGTTCGTGAGCAGCATTCCTCAAATGGCACAACCACTCATTCGGTGTAGAGCATATAAAAATGCACATTGGACACTGAAAGAGTTGCTCCATTGTTGAAATATTAACACCTGGCTGAATAACCTGGACAACGTGGATGGATATTCTTATCAGATGTAACTACAAACTTTATCAGACCAATGATGCATGCATGCAGTTCAGCCACACCTTTGCTGCAACCGGCATGTTTTTTCTACTCCAATATTATTTAATGTATAATCATTAATCAATGCATGCCTAAGTGGCAATTTATAATAACTAGTGCTTCTAAAGCAATACTTCATTAACACTGCACATATAGATGTACATACATAGGAATTATAAGATTAGTAATGGGTGGGTGTTACTCCGCCCATACGTAAACTCCCACTGTTAGCACCCCGCGCATGCGCAAATCATCTCCTTCAACGGTTGCAGCTGTCTTCGAGGTACTACAGTGTTTCTTCTCTGCAGATCCCCTTTCATTTATTTAGTATTTATTGGGTATGGATGGTGTTAACAGTTCGGAAGACCTTGCGGAATATCTAAAGAACAAATTAAATCTCCCTGAACGGTTTTGTCAAGCCTTTATAGGTATAATTATGGTTGTCATTGTTGCAGCTGTTCATGCATCTGTTCCTTAGATAATTATATCGATGGAAGCGAGTTTCTGTTACTGACGAGAGAGGATATAAGCCAATTCATTGAGCCAGTGGGAATAGTGAAAAAGATTATTCGTCACATTGAAGAGCTTAAGTGTGTTGAGGTGAGCAAATAGCTGTAGCTAGCTACATATATCTACAAGATAATAATAATTATTATTATTGCTATTACTTTGCA